TTTGTGTAACTCTGCCAGTGGAAGGAAGTTGTCAGTGAAGAAACCCGTCTTCCATTAAAGACTCGACAAAGCCAGTGAAACCAGTGAAGGTAACCTTTGACCCGAACCTTCACTGGAAGCTGACTGTTGGAAATTCCACAGGAAATTTCTGTTACATCAGGAACAAAGTCAAAGAACGGTTTAATAGAAACAGTTAGAGTGGAACCTGGTGGACATGTGCTCGGGGTCTATTGAAATACAACACTATTGTTTGCTCAATTTTTTCATAGAAATGACTGTAATTGGTGATGACAACTGACTGGGGGGTGGGTTGTTAATTTGTTTGTTAACTTCATTAAAGCAGAGCTTGGTGTCAGTTACCAACTCAAGTTTGATCTGTAAAAGTACCAACAAGTGTAAAACAGTTCTTCACATTAACGTCTGTCAACGTCGACCTAATGATGATGATGATGGTGCTGAAGAAGCAGCATGAACATCTATGATCCCATGACCCACAGATTGGACAACCACAAGAGGACAAATAACTGACCCACAGCCAACCCAACAGTAACCAGGACTGTGTGTGACTCACTACACACACAGGTCAGGGTTTGACCCCAGGTCATTCACACTCACATTCACACCTGTGGTGGTTTTAAAGTGAACAATTCACCTAACCCATCTGTATGTTTTTGGACTGAGAAATCTCTGTTACCTGCTCTTGTTGTTTTTGCACAATCGACACTTTCTTTCTTTTGAACTCTGTTTTTCTCTGTAACTTTGGGCTTGATCCAGGACCAGGGAACTCATTTAGTTTATCCGATGTCTAACATGTGTTAAAGAACCTTGAATCCTCTTGAGTCCTTGTGTCCTTTAAACCCTCAACTCCCCCGCACACGCACACACATAGAATTCATTCACCAGAATTTGAACCATTGACCTTCTTGCTAGAACCCTCTAGCAGGAACACCAAATGCTCTTTCACCATCTGTGAACAATCTTTACACAACATTAAAGTTTAGGCCTTATTTGTATTTATATTATGTTTTTTATTTCCTAATGTCCTGTTCCCAAGTCTTTCCGAACACACAGGGCTGAAGTCTTACCACAGAGTGACACAGATGCCTTTTAAAATCCAGGACCTTAAATTCAAGGCAGGTCATTTCAAACTAGGCATGATCTGTTTTTCTCCTCTGACTCTGGAACCAGACTCTGGTTCCAGAAAATCTGACTCTGATTTCCTTCTCCTCTGACTCTGGAACCAGACTCTGATTTCCCGGATACCATGTTGGAGGAGTTCCATCCTCACAGCTGAATAACAATAGTGAACCCATTTACACTGGTCTTACATAACCTCTTTCTGAGGAATGCTTCACAGGGGACACTGGGACACAGCAGAATGTGGAAACATTTAAACAAGGATCCAAGAGGCCCATATCTGGGAGCAGAGCAGGGTATCCAGAAACTGGGTCACAGCTCAGCTTAATTTAACCCCCAGTTGGTCCAAATAAACATCTGAGCTCAAAGACAGAGGTTCCATCAGAACCTGTGGACAAGTTTTCCACCCATACAGGGTATAAAGGAGTTAAACAGAATCATTTAGTTGTCCAGATGTGTTTTTTGGACAGCTGACTTATGTGTAGCACACATCTGTAAAACACATGTACCAATGTGACCAAAAATCACTGCTTCAAACTCACTTGCCCAGCAGGGCGGCATCAGTGCTAATAGTGACCCACATCCACACATCAACAGGCTGCTGTGTGGGCGGGTGTGTTCTTAGACAGGACACCAAACTATGTTGGCCATCATAGCAAGCCATAACTGGGCCACCAGCAGAAAGTGAGGTGGAGATTTGCTTCAGTGCTATTGATACAGATGATGTTTGGCTCCATCTGCTGGTGATTTGTTTACAAACGCTTCGACGCTAGAGGAATGTACTAATTTATATATATTTCTATAAACTAAAAAATAGTCTCCGTCATGTGTGTATTTGTTTTAGCATAAGGGAGTTTGATTTCTTCAGTCTACCAGCTGCAAAAGTTCTTTCAATCGCCCCAGACAAAATAAATGCCAAGTACACTGAGAGCTCCCAAAATATCCTTCATTCCTGTGATGGATTTATGTCATGCAAAAGTGAGCACCGATATTTCTGTCCTTCCCAGTTTTGCACTTATCAAAGTTCCCTTGTACTTTTAATTATGATTTCATGTCTTTAAATCTATGATCTATGAATCCAGGGAGAACAACTGTAGAAGAGGAGTGTCTCCAGAGACAGTGGACACGCCCGCCGGACCATAAGGTCATCACTGAGATCTGACACTGACCTCAGGGTTTCTGCTGTCATCATTGCTTCGTCTGCCGTTGTCGGTTGTCTAGACTTCACTCTAATCTTTACATGGCAAAAAATCAGAAGATCGTCAGGCTTCACCAGGAGGAGACGCTGCACAGGTGCTGTCAGTTACACTACAAAATCATTTCTTTTTTTTGTATTTATCACTGAGAGAGAGCTGTATTGTTGTTTTCATGTTACAGTGACGTTGAACACAATGAGACAAGAACAGGTGAGTGAAGACGACTCTGGGTGTTTCCTCTACATGAGATGGTGGTGTTTAAACAGACGTATATTTTTGTGTAAAATGTCGTCACATGTTAAATCTGTCAGTGTGAAACCTGAGAGTTCACACTGGAGACACTGGTGAGCAGTCGAAAACTGGAGGACTGGAAAAGTGATCCAGCTCCATGTGAACCTGAGCTGCAGTGTCACGTTCAAAGAGAGTGGCGTAGTTGTCCTGAGGTTTCACCTGTAGCTGGAGAACAGTCTCATCACTTTTATTAAATCCAGGGTGGCTGCAGTGACCGTACTGTCCCTGATTACTGCTGTCAAATACTGACAGCTTCTGGTACTTTCTAGGATGGAATCCTAGAGAAACAAATGGTTCATGTGGTTGAAATTCTTGTTCCTACTAGTACTGTTCCCATCATCCTGGTACTGATTCATTTTGCTCTTCTTTTCTGTTTTTCTGTTCCCACATGTTCACAGGGTTAAATGCTGTAGCCACAGACATGGACAGAAACACTGGACCTGCTGCAGAACCAGAACCAGAACAAAGTGAAACAACACAATTCCCTAAGACAAGGTCTGGAGGTTCTTTTCTTACGGTAAATCTCCCATCATCCTCTGTTCCGCCTGTACTTACTGTTGACTCACGGGACACGGTGACACAGTTCTCACAGTCAGCAGCAGCACTGTAACCTGATCGCCGACCTTGTGTCCTCAGCACTCGGCCCTGAGCCCGGCTCAGAGACAGTACCTCCACACCGTCTCAGCCTCCTTCAGCTCTGCACACGTGCACGGCCTCATCCTGCAGCACTACAGGAACGCGCTGCTCCGGTGGAAACCAACGGGTCAGTGCTGAGATCGCTCAACAACAACAACTGCTCCCTGAGCCTGGACAGTTGTTGTTGTTGTTGGGAACTTTGATTCCAGACTCCTTATTGACAACAAATCATCCTCTTTTTTTTTTACTAATTTCTCTGATTTGTAGGTTTTAACCTAAGCACAGAGGATCAGCCAGTGACCTCATCTGAGAACCACAGTGAAAAACCTGCACCAAATCGGCAACCTGACATTTCTTCCACTGAAGTAAAGAAACGTAACAGGAAGACTAGCGGTGCAAGGATTTCTGGGAAATCCTCCATTTCAAAACTCCATACCAAGACAGTCGGGTGAGCAACATAAGCGTAAAGGTCAATAACATTTGATTAAAATGTTCTAATCTCTTTTAAACAACCGCCAACAAAATAGTTCCCAAAATATAATCATTAATAAAAACATATTTTAAAGTAAGAGCAGCTGTGGCTAGCTCTTAGCCTGAAGATAAGTTAAAGTGAGCTGAATCTAAGCCAAAATATATTCAAGAAATGCAAGCCATATTGTCAAAAGCTAACTGTAAATATGATCATACATGCTAAAGTTTTAGGCTATGTATTTGTTTAGATAAAAAGATTGTAAATTCAGCTTAATGTTTGAGAATTTTTTGAGTGAATTTTCACATTAACATCTGGTGTAATGTAATTTATTGTATTATATATATTTTTAAAGATCTGGAAAGACATCGGCATCTAAACAGAGGAAGACGAAGAAAAGTTTAGCGCCACCTACCCCCACAGGACAAAGTCTGAAGAGTGAGTGTGTGAGAAGTCTGTGCTGTGTCCTTATTGATCCAGTGACAGAGCAGCGGGTCAAATGTTTCTCTGTGGTTCCAGAGTCCAGGATCAGACAGACGGATGAGGAAACGGAGAATGAAGAAGATGGCGATGATTTTCTGGATGAGTGTCTGAGTTCACTGTCTGTGACGGAGTGGGACGACGATACCTTCTCAGATTTATAACATCTGATTCTTTATGTTCTTCTCCGGAGAGCACTGCTGTCGTTTTGAACTGTGGTTTTTGACAGACACAACAGACACGAGGGTCCAGGTGTAAACTGGTTGTTTCAGTCACGCATCAGTTAATCAGCCGTTTCTTAGTGGGGAGGGCGTACCACCCAGTGTTCCCAAGAGGTACTGCAGGTAATCTGGACTCAATAAAGAAGAGCGCTATATGTAAAAACATGTAAATATGTAAAAGGCAAATGTACAGTCATGGTATAGATGTAGCTCAAATGTCCTGGATCATAAACAGTGTTTTCGCTGTTGTTTTTCCAGTTAATCAAATGATCAGAGAAAGGCTCGAACCATTTGTTATTGGAATTTGTCTAAAGCCTGGTTACGTTCATTTTATAAGACATTTTGTGTTTATGAGCTACAGAAGGCTAGCTGGACAAATGTCGCGTATATAATGAGGGCGGGCCCTGGACAAACGAGTACGATTTTCAAGTGGAGCAGAGCTAATATTGCCCTAACGCTACTAAATGCTAACTAAATTAAAAGTATCATCAAAAACATGCAAATCAAGAAATAAAATAAAAGCTACCCAAACACTAGTATAAAAAATAAATACTACAACTATTACTATAACTCATTAATAACATTATTGTAATTATCAACCTTATGCATAATCGTGGGGAAACATGCTCATTGATGACTTATATTTCTCATTGATCAGACTTGAAACAAATATTTCCTCTTAATTAATGTATCAGCTACACATTCCATCAAAGGTCTGTGTTAACAACTACAATTATACAGTATATATATAAATATATACATATGCATGTACATATATATATATACACCAAGAACACTGGTTGTTCTTGGTATAGGAAAGAATGACCCTGTATATGCATATATAGCAGTATTGAAAATAAAAGATGAAAGCAGTTAGTGTGAAATAAGTTCTTTATTGTGTTGATGGACTAGAGGAAACTAATGGTGGTGTTGGGTATGCAGACAGAACATGGTGGAAATAAAACATTAAACAAACAGAATGGCACCAAATATTTCTTTAGACACAAACATAAATGTGACAAGACAACAGTCAAATGTTAGATTAACAATTGTATACACACACACACAGAGTGTGTTTGGAGTTCAGGTAATGCGTGACATTTTGATGAGGGCCGAGCTGAGGCGGAAATGAAAGAATGAACTCAGACTCTGAAACCCTCAACCTCCTCCTCTCACTCCTCCTCCTCCTCCTGCACTTCCTGATTTTAGGATTTCTTGTACTCGATTCTCTCCACCTTCACGTCGTCTCCGATCAGCTGATAAACGTACGTCACCACTGTCGACGCCTGGATGTCCATTAGTACAAACGAGGGAATGATGTTGCTGTGAAGAAAACAACATCTCAGATCATTTGGTTTTAAATGAGTCCAAATGTATTTTTAATTGTAAAGCAGACTTTGACATCTGTTTATTAAGGTTGACCAAAGTGTAATTGTCAAATGTAAATATAATGTATCATGTTTGTCTCATGTTTCTGTCAGGTCCACAGCTGGCTCTCCTACCTCTCCAGTGCAGTGTAGGCTCCTGTCGCAGAACCTGGGTTGATGTAGAACTTGTTCTCGTTCTCAAAAGCCTCAAACTTGTGTGTGTGTCCAGAGATGAGGATGTCCACGTCCAGCTGTCTCTGCAGCAGTGCTAGACTGGCCATGTCCCCCCACGGTATCACCTGGTGTCCATGGATCAGACCGATCTTGAACTGACCCACGGTCACCACCTTCTGCTCTGGGTAGTTCAGGTTCTGAGGGGAAAACACAAAGACGGGGGGAACCACAGGTTGAGTCAACATCTGTGAAGATTGGTTTGGTTATTGTGAAGAAACGGGGGCGGACCTCATCGAAGTCTCCTCGGACGATGTGGACGTCTCCTGCAAGGGTCTTCAGGTAGTCGTAGCTCTCCTTGGTGCAGAGGTTTCCTGTGCACAGAATGTGCTGGATCTTCCCAGGCACCAGCAGCTTCTTGAACTTGGCCGGTAGAGTGTTGCACCGGTGAGGGATGTGCAGGTCACCTAATACCAGGACCAACTGAAGGCATCACACAGACACACACGGGAGTCAGTGGGCAGAACCACCGAGACGCAGCTGAGCTGCGGTGTTCAAATGTCCTGGCACGATAACGACGCCTTTGGAACGCTGCTGCGTTCACACAGGCAAGCAACAGCTCAGCTCTCATTCAGGATTAGCTAATGTTAGTGCCTTCAGTGACCCAGCTATGTTCAGATGAGTAAAGCTGAACTAAAGGTCCACCATCATGGTTGGCCACGGCTCTTCTTTTTTTATTTTCTTTCCACCTCCTACGCTCACATTTCAAACAAATCTTTACTTTCTTCAGAGGCTACAGCACATTCTGAACCTCCATCATATTCGCAAGTGAGTTGTGTATTCTTCTTCTGCTTGACATGACACCTCCTCGTATGAGGTAACAGGGCAGGTCAGGTGACAATTTAGTTTCTGAAGACAACCCTATTTTTTTCCAAACAATTTGTAGAAGGGGCACACTGACCTCTGTCAATGTCCTGTTAACAACAGTAACCACGTCTGATCTCCCTGGGAAGCAACTCTTCCAGATTCAAAAACTACTGCTTGTGTTTGACATGTTCACTACCTAGGATGGAGCAGAGCACTCCTCTGTGTTAATAAATGATTTTCAATCTGTTACAAAATCCAAAGAGTAAACTAACTTTGGAGTTGTTAACCCCAAACCAAATAGTTCCAAATTTAATTCTTGTTGAAATAAGCAACATTCTGTGTTAAAAAGCAATAAAAGAAAAGTCTGAATTCAAACTGTACTGTGAAAAAAAGTGGAAAAATGTCATTGAAATCACCACAGTTGGATTTCAGACTCTCAACCACAGATTAAACACACAACACACAAAGGAACGACCCTGACAGAATCATTAAATTTAAGGGGAAAAAAAAGCCAAAACATGACTTTTGACCCATACATGCCCTCAGAGAGACAGAGAGAGAAGCTACCGAGTACTTTGGACCACTTTTTCTTAACTTTCTTTAACTCAAGGTCATGTTATTTTCATTTATAAGCATCTTCTTTTGTTCCTACCTGTATCACAGAAAATTAACACAAATTGCAGACATTAAATATCTCACTATTTATTGTTTGAATTATTTATTCCAGTGAAATATTTAGGCTAGTGTAACTGAATCATGGCAACTTGTTAGACATGTGCTGTAGCTGTTGATTTAAAGGGCGCTGTTGGTTTTCGTGCAAACTGCAGCAAAGCTCCATGGCCGAACCTTCCCACTGCCGCGTTAGTGATGCAGGCAGAGCAGAAAACAGAAAGTCCAAAACAGAGTGGGCATACTCACCCGGTGACCAGCCTGGTTGATTGGAGAGGAGGGGGAAGAATGGGTGAGACAGGAAGGAAGGCAGGATGTGCGTGGACAGAAGGACACGGTGCATGATCAAAGATTTTGTGCAGGGAAAAAAGGACAAAGAATTAAATGAAGAACAGGTTGGGACAAGAGGAGAAAAAAAACTGAAATTAGAAATGAAAAAGGTGAATGGATTAATTCAACAGATATGAATCATTCAAAACAAACCCAAAATCAAACATTGTGGTAAAATCAATTGTTAATGACAGGTGATTAGTGATAATAAATTAAAAAAAGCAAAAATGTTTGCGTGATCTGAAGGATGGTGAGCAAATGGCAAGAAAGTCAAAACTGGGTTTAAATCAATCAACAGTGGATATGTTTGTATAAATCAATGTTTTTTAGTTTTACCTTTGCTGTTTGTTGACGGAAATTATTGTTTATCGTCGTCATGACAACTTTTTAAATCAAGCCTTTGTAAAACTTACATATTCGAGATAATACATTTATGTAAAGAATGAAATACAACACAACATCATTACTATTTACTGGTTTAAATTGAAAGTGTGACAAGTACGTCTTTGCTATTTAAGAAACAACTTGTTCTTGCCTACTACCTAGATTATGGACCAAATATTTAAGTTATAAAAATTGCACAAATTTGCCATCGTTACCACGTTGAGAGTTTTATGAAGAAATAATTCAAGGTAATACGTAGAAAGTTACATATCAGTCATCTTAGAAAATAACAAGTAAGAAATATGACTGTTGTATACTGGGTATATGACAGTAATGACACATAAATACATCAATCTTCTGATCATCAAATTCAAATCGCGTGTTTTAAGACCTGTTCGGATGTGAGGGAAAGACAGAGTGAATGATGGAATAAATTAACGAATGGATAAAACAAACGTGTGCCGTTCATGTACTGCAGACAGTTGCCATTCATTCTTACTAATATCAGTAATTAAAAGATAAGAATGTCTTAATTTCTGATTGAATGTTCATCAGAAACGTCTTCATATCTGCAGGGGCGGCTTCTGCTATTAGCATGCTAGCAGTGACAACTGGTGCACTATAACGAAAAAGTAAAAAACATACAAACACTATTTTATTACAAACGCGCCATGGTAGGTGTTTTAGAACAATCATGAAGGTAGCTGTTGATTAAAAAGTCACTGGTTGCTTCTAAAAATCATATTTTGTTTAAAACTGTTCAACTGTCATGTGACCGCAGATGATCTGACGATACAGCTTCACTTCAAAAAAATCTGACATTAATCTAGGATGACACTGAAAGTAATAGTGTGTTTATGTTTCCAACTCCACGAAGACAAATATAAGTAACACACTCGGGAAGAGAAACACAAAATGTGGATTTTGTCGCCATTTCATACTCACCATCTTCTATTTTGCAGTTTCTTCCTTCGACTCAAGTTGAGGAAGCGCCGTGCAATGACGTCATGACGTCAGCCAATGAGGGCAGGGGTGCGTCAAGCTAAATTAAAATACTTCCTGTTTTTCTTAAAAAATAAAAAACACATTATTTCTTTATGCCCTAGTTAAGACAAACGTGTCCTATACATATTTTTATCCACAATGTGTCACTAATGAGCTTGTTTTGTCGCACCCTTGTTTTATCGCCTCCTCCCCCCTGATTTTGACCAGGTAAAATGATCTAGTCCACATCTGATACCCAAACCATAGACAAGACAACTTTGTCTGGTCAGCCCCTGGTATCCAAAATGCCCAGAGTCTTCTGCTCCTATAATACTCTGATTTTGTGGGGTCAGCCATGTGTTAGACAAACTTGTAAGGAAAGTTGTGTAGAGAGCACATAAAAACAAAATAATGTTAAAAATGTTAAAAAATTACACTAGGACCAAATGTGGGTCACTTGGGCAACTTGCCTGTAGAAACCAGTCTTATTGATATGCATATGTTCAATAGATCAAAGGTAGTCTGACAGACAAAAGGACAAAGTCACATCAATTTCCCCAGTGTGGGATCAATGTAATCTAATCTCATACACTTTTTCCTTTTGAAGAAAACCAAAGAAACAATGACAAAAACATACCAATAGCTGGAAAAACCCAGTTTAAAGGAATAACAACTAGCTAGCACAGTGTTGTGAAAAAAAATCATAATACAAGTATTCTTTATTGTTTACATTTTCTACAGGTGGAATAGTCAGCCATTCTTCTTCAGTACCCATCATAGCTGCTCGATAAAGTTTCTGTAACTCTCAAAATATCCTGTCAGCAGACGTTTTTGACATGATGGTCCTTCTCCTAAACTCCAAGTGGACAAAAAAAAATCCAAAACTGGACAAACAAGAAAAATATTTTAAAATGACTATTAGATAAATAATTATATATATTTTAAACATTCCATTTATAAATAATCCTAAAATAATAATATACAAAAAGCATGGACCCCTAAATGGAAAGCTAAGTGGAAGAATCTCATATTTATTTTCGCAAATCAGACCATCAAACGCAACAATGTAACAAGAAAACACGGTCTAAATTATTGGTTGACTTTCGTGCCAATCAGCGACATGTTGTTTTCCGCCGTGAAACAAATGTAGTCAAAATCAAGGGCTGTGTATTTTGATGCTCTAGGTGGCATGTGATATTAAAATGTGATAGCACCGGAAATGGCTATAACCACTCTGGAGCTGATGTGCTGCAGTAGACAAACAGTATGTTAATTTGAAACAAATGCTCCATCCGGAGTTGGCCGAGACCGCCATGTCATCGGGGTGGCTGTAGTCGAGAGAATGGTATTTTAATTTGAAACGAGTGCTACAGTCGGAAGTGGCTGAAGCCGCTCCTTGGCTGTTGGCTTTACATCCAGTGTAAAAGAATAGTGAGAGGCGTCGTCGTTTCGCAGAACATTCGAGAGGTAAGCGAAATAAAAGCGTGTCTGTTCTAATTGTGTTCTCGGTTTTGGTTGGCATTGATTTAACATTTAATGTCTCATTTCACTGACACGTAGTAAGCAACTTCAGTCAAATCAGCCCTTAAAGGAACTAGGCAATGAGTTACCTTCACACACTTCGACAGCTGTAGGCTAAAATGCTAAATAACGCGTTAGCGCCTGGGCTTCGTCTATTTGCTGATGTCGTGTGATTATGAAACCTAGTCAGAGACAGGGCCTAGAGTACAGAGTTTAATTTAGAATACACGGTCTTGTGTTTAATTTGTTTTTGTATATGACACTTACTTGTTTTATGGCCATTTCGAACTAACGAAGGAGCAAAACAGGTGTACGCTTTACCCTTTTAGCCGCCATTCGCGCTAAGCTAGGATAATTCACTGTAACTAACGGGACATTATGTGTTATTTAATTGTATTGTTATGACTCGTTTAGTTAAGAATGAAGAGCATGTGCCACACCTCGTAATTTAGTTCAAACGTTGCTTTCAGTTCTATGGAAGAGCGCATGTGAAAACGTTGTGTAATAACGCTGGACCCCTTTTCCTTCCCCAAAGGTTTCCTCCCTGAAAATAAGACTCTTCGAAATAAACTCATCATCCACTTCTCTGTCGAGTCTGGCACCTGCATCGTCTGGACGCTGTCAGGTGTTAAAGTTCCACGGTCACAAATCCGCACAGAAGCCCTTCTGTAATCGATCCCGCACCAGCTCCAGCCATCAGACACACCGTTCACTGCGGCGCTTGGACGATCAGCGTTGTGTTTATGTCTTTGTTTTGCGAAAACGGTGAGTTTTGGATCAACAGTTTCTCCCCAGTGTCCCCAGGTTTTTTTACTTGACCATTTGTAGTTTTTGTTTTATTAGTAGTTTTCGTTCGGGCTGTATTTTCGTTAGCCTGACGTGTTTTCTGTGCCACTGAATCAAAATGGCGTCTCCCAGTTTAGTCACTCGTGTGCAGTGACTGTGTGACGCACTATGCACCAAGTTCTCCGCTAACTTAGCCAGCACATGATCTAGGTTTTATTTTTCGTGTCTTCTCCCATCCAAGTTTCTCTCGCTACAAATCCTTGACTTTTAAATGGTTTAGATCCCCTTTTACTCAGCTTGTTAAGCTCACAAATGAAGTTATACGTTGGAATACCACCACGTGAATATAGAACAGTTGTTAAACGCCCTCTGAGAATTTATACAGAATTTATTTTTAAATTGGATCCCTTATGGTTTTGGTTAGTCCCTAGTGGTTTAGATTTTTGTATTACATAGTGGTCTCTAACATATGGCAGTAATAACTGATCTGTCAAGTCATTTGTTGTATTGTTTAGTTATTGAAGTGTCTATGAACACCCAAACCACATGATTATGTTGCGAATTTAACCACAAACTAAAGATCCAGGTGATTTTCACATTTCTTTCCTGTTATAAACAGAAATGGTTATAATGGACCAAGGTAGATTGTCATTTTCTCAAGGCCCAGTATTTGTTGGTGTTTTTTTCTTCATGGATATGGTGGATCCTGTTTTTTGGTTGTTGTTTTTTACCTCTATCACTTCAGGACAGCAGTGGGTCAAAGATATTGCAGTGGCTAAGAATATTAGGTGTCAACGTAACGTAACACAGCTGCATGTGTGTTGTAGTGGCATTTGGGGTAATGATGTGGAAAATTTAAAATGAGAATTGTAAAAACCTACACATTTCTGTTTCTATTTAAAGAAGAAAAAAATTATACTAATTACACATTACACTTTTTTTAATAAATTGAAGAAATGTCAGATGAGCTGGTTGTAATCCATTTCTACTGACATAATTCAATATTTAAGTGTAGTTTTAATTTCATAAGAGGTAGGTTGTCTGTCTTAAAGGATGTATGATATTGTACCAAATACTTTTTTATTTTTCATAACTGATGATTACCATATGACTTCCTACATTATTGAGGAATATTAAAAATGTTAGTGAATCCTTCTTTGTTCTGTGAAGATGCTAAAACATATATATATATTTTTTAATCTACATTTATCAGAAAGAGCTCGTAGTAGTAATGGTAATAACAGTCGGTCCATTTTTAAACTGTTGCAGCCTTAATCATGACATGCTATCAACGTTTACTGAACACATTTACGCTCTCTGTGGGCTGCCCACAGTCCCAGCCTCAGACCTGGTTTTCTAAGATGAGTAGTAGTAGGGAGTTTGTGAAGATCTGGAGTCACCTTAAGTCTCTAGTGTCGGTCAGAGCTACAGTCTTGACCTCTGCCCTTCTGATCTAACCGCCTCCACACTTAACTGTGCCCATGACAAACCTGTTGAGTCATTTCACGTGGACTTGATCATACTTCCTGCAGCCTGAGTGGTTGCTGTAGTAGTGGGGGCATTTAAGGTGATGTGTGTTTGGCAGGGACTAGGTTTCATGTTTGTGACCCATTAATAAGAGCGGATCTTATGTGAGTAAAGCCAGGGGCCCCTGTGTCTCACAAAGGGGTCAGTGTTTGTGTGTGTGTAGAGAGGGAGACAAAAAGCTGCATGCCTGTGAGTGAGGCAGCTGAGTTGGAATTTTTGGGGTTTTTTTGTTTATATATTTTCTGCACTTTGCCCTTGCTTGGAGTTAAAAACACAATTTAAAAGTATTGTTCAGATCTCACTGAACCGTGACTAACTTGTACTATAATGACAAACCATCTAACAAAGGAACATTTAAATGGTGATAAACTATTATAAAGTACAATGAAACTCTTTCTACTGTCTCCTGTGCTTGTGTTCTTAAAATGTTCACCATTTATTTTGAAGCAGTAACTTATCTGTTTAAATAGAAATTGGTGAAAATGTAACTTTTGGAACAAACTCAGACTAACACTAGTGGACAGTATTTGTTATATTTAAAAGAAAAGGTCAATAAATGAAAAATTAATTTAGGAATACAAAAAACATTTGTAAAGACTTCTTGTCATGGGGGAAAAAGATGGTTGTTTTCCTCAGTCATCTGACAAAATCCTGGTGTAGTTAGTTGAAATCACACGTGTTGTTCTACAGACTTTGGGTTGTTTTTAAATTATTTTCCTGACGGGTAAATAATCGGCCCCTCTCTGTCCCCCTACTCTTTCAGAGCTGTTGCGCAGCCGTTGGAACCTGTGTGGTGGAAATCTCGCCTTCAAGCAAGGAGCTTGCGGCCACAGCGGCACAACGTTTTTCATGTCAGAGACCGAGCACGCTTGCAGTCGTTTATGTCATCCCCTCTTTTCCAGACAGAAGATCCCGAAAAATCCCCAACCAAGATCCTTTTATCTTACTGATAGTGCTTACATCCAGCCAAAATGTCTGTCAACGTCAACCGCAGCGTTTCAGACCAGTTCTATCGCTACAAGATGCCCCGTCTGATTGCCAAGGTAGAGAATCAAGTTCTGGTCTTTGTGCGACTTTTATAGACCAAACAAAATGCTATTTGTTTTCAGTTGTCACACTTTATCCACACAGGTTGAAGGCAAAGGGAATGGAATCAAGACGGTTATTGTCAACATGGTTGACGTTGCAAAGGCACTGAACAGGCCTCCAACATGTGAGTTTGTCACTGCATGATAGACATATTTCTCTTTAAATTCATAAAATGTCATTATGCTTTATACCCGAGTGTTGTTTATTTTTTACTGCCAAACTCCTTGGGGAAAATAGTAAATAAAATAAAAAGATTTCTACCTTGGTTTATGTTAAATGTCAAATGAAATGAAATTTCTCTTGACTAGCCAGGAAGGCGTGAACCATTTTGTTTTCTGTCACTCCTTTAGACCCGACCAAGTTTTTTGGTTGTGAACTCGGCGCTCAGACCCAGTTTGATACCAAAAACGACCGTTACATCGTCAACGGATCCCATGAGGCGAACAAGTTGCAGGACATGCTGGATGGGTTTATCAGAAAATTTGTGCTGTGTACCGAGTGCGACAACCCTGAAACTGATCTGGTAAATGTTTGCCTGGGGCTCCGGTGTCACTGGTGGTTTTTTTTTTTGTTTGTTTTTTTGTTGGAAACCAATGTACAAACCATGTCATCCGTTTGTCATTGTTGCAGCATGTCAATCCCAAGAAACAAACCATCGGCACTTCCTGTAAGGCCTGTGGAAACCGTGGCATGCTGGACACTAGACACAAACTGTGCACATTCATCCTCAAAAACCCACCAGGTGAGAGGCAGTGTGGTTTAACGTAACCGCGATCTGTGGTCCATCTGAAAATGACTGACACTTCTGTTCAATCACAGAGAGCAATGACAGTGGATCCGCATCTGCAAAGAAGGAGAAGGAGAAAAAGAACCGTAAGAAGGACAAGGAAAACGGCTCCGGAGGGGGAGAAGCTGGAAACCATGGGGAATTTGATGCTCCTGAAGCTGTGGTGAGTCGCCTACACCTTCAGTGTCCACAGAGACATTAGTCAGAAACGGAGACAACCATTAGAACTGAGCCTTATTGACAAGGTCAACGCACACACATGCATACTGGCACTGTAGACTAATAACTGTCTAGGCCACAGTTGAGTGACTGAATCTTTGAGAACTTCCCACTGCAGCCTAATGTTCTCCATGTCTGAACAGAACCAAGTGTTTTTCAGATCAGACCCCAGTCTGTGCTCCCAAGTCTAGACCTTCGTTTAAGCACTCTGTGTCTCGCTTTATTTGACCTTTGCATCAATAAAGTGAGACTGACATTGAAATTAACTGATTTGATATTAATTATTTAAGTCAAAGATTTAAAATGCTTTTTTTAAATGATGTATATTTCCACTACACAAGACTAAAATCATTTTCCCAACTCCTTCTACAATTTGATCCATTTCTTTTTCTGGACACCAGGACAGGGACGACGACGACGAGGACTGGGCCGAAGAGACCACAGAGGAGGCGCAGAGGCGAAGAATGGAGGAGATTAGTGACCACGCCAAGAACCTGACACTCAGCGAGGACCTGGAGAAACCTCTGGAGGAGAGAGTTAATCTCTTTTACAACTTTGTCAAAGTAAGAACATGTGAATCCCGAAAACACACACAAGATGGCAAAGTAATGAAGATGATTCATAGAAATACTTTTTCCACGCTGGTGGTTTTATGCCATCACTTTCTGATTGCAGTACAATTTAAGTCCAGCAGAGGGCTGCAGTTAATACTACTGAATATTAATGCAAAAATGATGTATTTGCAATTGACAACTTTACGTAATCCAAGAATAAGGACTGAGTAGTGTCTCTTTTTTTTTGGTATTGTAAAAAAGTGTCTGTGGATTTATTTCATATTTATTAATATGAAGATGTATATAAATGTACTGTTTCCTTTCCCTCTGGTGTTTAGCAAAAGAAGGAGAATAGAACCATTGATGGAGCTGATAAGGACATCTTGGCAGAGGCTGAGCGGTTGGACGTGAAGGCCATGGGCCCCCTGATCCTCAGTGAGCTTCTGTTTGACGAGAACATCCGTGAGCAGATCAAAAAATACAAACGTCACTTCCTCAGAGTAAGTCAATCCTGAACTCCCCCCTGACTCCTCAGCTCTGCCAGGTTTCTCTAATTTAAGTCAAATGAACTGAATCACTTTCTCCTTCTAACTCTGTCTTGTTTTGTTTTTGTACTAAAATGGTTAAACTAATCTTGGGTTCCTCTAATTCTTTCCTGGTCTTGATGTGTTCCATTAGTTCTGCCACAACAACAAAAAGGCTCAGAAGTATCTGATGGGAGGCTTTGAGTGTGTGGTGAAGCTTCATCAGGTCCAGCTGCTGCCTCGAGTTCCCATCATCCTCAAAGACCTTTACGATGCTGACCTGCTGGAGGAGGACGTCATCTTTGCCTGGGCAGAGAAGGTCAGTAACCCAACAACAAAAAAAGAGAAATAAATCAGGTCTTAGCAAGTTATGACAAATGGAAGATACAAAACACCGGATGTCATTTAAATCTCTTGGGTATACAGTGAAGCTGTATTTTTTTTGATAATTAACAGGTTCTTTAAAAGAAATATTATGACAAATTATTAAATGTCCTCATCAGCTTAATGTTATTAATTAAATGTGTTTTAGAATAAATAAATGTAAGGTGACTTGATTAGTGACCATAAAATTGTGTGACAAACAGTGTGCAGGAAACTACAGTAAATCCTTCTAACATGTCTTTAATCTTCCTCAAAATTATAAAAATGATAATTTAAGTAATTAACTTCAACTTTTTGAAAAAAAAGTCAGGTTCAAACAGCCTTTAAAATAAAACCTCTGCGCTCTGACATGTGGGCTAAGATATTAAGATACTCATTTAGCTTACATTTAGCTTTTAGCCATAAAAGCTAAATGGCTAATCATCTATTATGAACACAGCTAAGGGAAACAAAGTAGCGACAGATGTGTGTATACTTAAGAGTTACATTTTATATTTTCACTTAATATAGTATATTATACAAATCAAGTTGGCTTTATTAGCCAAGCCTGAGAGCACAGGAATTCTGATTTTTTTCACTCAACTCTCTTAGGCATAAACAGAATATACAAGGAACATATGGATGATAAAAAAAAATCCAAATCATTTTTTAAAAATGGATTGTATGAATGTGGAAAAAATTAACTAAACCTTTTCTTTGCCCCTCATTCTTTGTTTTTCAGGTCTCTAAAAAATATGTGTCGAAAGAGCTGGCCAAAGAGATCCATGCCAAGGCTGCGCCGTTTGTTAAATGGCTGAAGGAGGCAGAGGAGGAAAGTGAGGGCAGTGAGGAAGAAGAAGAGGAAGAAGACGAAAACGTAGAGGTACAACACTAGAACTACAGACACTAACTGTCCCAATTCAGAGTATGTAACCTTTCTGATGTAGCCCAGCAGGTGTGGACCAGGAAAGAACTAGAAATTATTTAGAAAATGTTATGTGGAGATCAGTTACATTAGGCTGCGTGAGAGTCTACCAGCACTGCTCACGTCAGGGTGAAAGTGAGCTGCATTTATCAGCATCATCAAAGCTCTCACTGTTGAAGACTGTTGAAGTCTCTCACGCTGCCTGAACAAAATAGTGGACTGAACTAAAACTAGGTGGTGCTGTGGTGATCACTTGAGTGAGGGTACAGTTAATTTGTTTGACACCCATTTTTTTTCCCTGTCCTGTTTCCTACAGGTGGTCTACTCTTCCTCTGCCCGTGAGCTCAAAGTTGAGACAGTCAAAGCAGAGACGCCCGAGAAAGAAGAGGATGACATCGACATTGATGCCATTTGAGAAACTGGGCTGATGATGATCAAGACGATGATAATGCTTAAATTTGTTGTGGCTTTGACTCTTGATGACTGTACATCCTAAATGCTTGCCCCTTTCTTCCTTCTGCTTTGTAGCATGATTAACCCGATGCTTCACCTGCTGCTCATTAACTTGGGTCTGATTTCTGAGATTTATAAATTGCTTAAGTGAAGTGGATTTTTGGGATTTTAATGTGGGATCAGGGTGGCTGCACATTCAGGTTTTGTTTTCTTCATTTTCGTCCTTCTATTTTCAGTTAATAGAAAAGTTTAACGTTGTTTTTCACCACAAACCACCATTTACTTCACTGTGTCCACTGTTTTAATGAATGGAATAAAAATGACACTGACTGTGTTCTGTACAGAAACAAGCGTTTGATGTGATTGCTGGGAACTTTTTTACCTTTTATACCACATCTGCTTTATTTTGGTGTTTTTCTTGGTTTATTTTATAACCAATTCAAAATGGATTTATTGACAGATATGTAAATTATAATTACGTTTATATGGTATAATTAGTTCCACAATGTGGGAGTTTACAATACGAATGTTTGCAATCGACACAGGCTGCCACGGGAGGCGCCATTGAGTATGGGATGGCAACTCAGGCTCAGGATATTAGGAATATTCCTCTAAGAATCGAACCCAGGTCTCTGCTCGAGAGGCAGCATCACTAAATTAATTTGATAAGCTATCCAATCGTGTGCTTATCGTCTGTCCCCTGATGCATTCCTTTGGTACTACATCAGAAGTGAAGTCGAAGATAGCATAATTTGACTAACTCTTATCTTGAGTTACCTACAACGTCAACCAAAACAGCACGATGCTTGTAAGTTGATGTGACAATAAAACCTTTAACCCACTGTCCTCTTTTCATCGGAACGCTGGGCCACTTGAACTGCTTGACCCACGACACGTCATGACTTCCAGACCAGGAACCTCTGGATAAGCTCTGTGCCCTGTAAAAGTACAGCGGAAAACCAGAAGATGGTTCTTGTGAATTTGGTGTCCCAGTGGCTCTCAGCAATGCTTGGACCCTGTATTTAGTAGACACGAGGGCACTGGAGATAGAACAAAAATTTACAGAATTCGGTTACATCTTGCCTAATGAGTGTGCAAATAGGAAGTATAGTAATAGTATTGAATTCTCATCCACAAACACCACTATGGAAATGGCCGTTGTGCAGTGTACCGCCAGTTTGATCCCGCTTGGTGCTATCCCACTTAAAAAGAACAACGGTGACGAATTTCGGATTACCAAACAAATGTGAAAGTTAGTTTTATTTGACCAGTTTTTCTTCTGCTGATAAGTGTGCACCACCACACAAGAAAAAAAAGCTGAAAGTATTTGTCTCGTGTGAAATAAATTCCCATAGAGACTTTTCATTCTCTTTTCTCCAATCACAGCGAGCTTTGCTGCTGTCGTCACTTCCGTTGTTCGTTCCAATGGACGTTCTCCTGGTGCTTTCACGTTCAATCAGAAATAACATAAAATCACAGCTCCGAGGACACCCTCTACTGTTTGATCTACTACAAATGTACAATAGCAGTTTCTGTGTCATGTAAAAGTTTTACCAAACTTACTGTGACCTATGGAGACAATATTTTAATATAGCAAGAAAATTAAACGTTAATTTACAATATGAAGAAAACGTATTCCATGATAATTTGAAAGTATTTTAACACAATTTTAAAAGAGTGGTGGAGAACAATAGCACAAAATCAGGAGAAAGAACCCCAAAATGTCACAAATCGCAAAAATATGATGGAAATATATTATTTTTCATTAACCAAAAAAAACCCCAAACAACATTTATGAATACGAATGTTTTAAGTACTAAAAACTATACATGAATTAACAAACAACCTGTCCGTATCACCGGTGTTTTGAAAATAACGAGTCAACCCCGTGCATTTAGGAACATGTCTCTGAATAAAAATAATATTGTCTAAAATATTAAGTTATCGCAATTTTTAAAAAAAGTGTAGCACCAAAAGGGACAAATATGGTATTAACAATGGCAGTTTTCAAATCTTATGGGATTTCTCAAAGCAAACAAAACCCATCACCAAGAAAAATACATATCGTTAGATTGAGAGAACTCCAATAAAGTATTTTATGAGTATTAGTATTATTAGTATGTTCTCGTATTGATAAAACTACAATGTTAGACTACATATGTAATAAAATTCATTTATTAGAACATATCATATAGTATAACATATATATATAGGATAAGCGGTTGATGATGGATGGATGGATGGATGGATGGATATCATATAGTGAAAAAACCCTCACATGATCATTAGAGCTGTTTAAAAATTGGAGTTTAGACAGTCAACAGTGCCAGGAGGTCGAAGTCTGTCGGTGGACCGTGAATGCAGCCTAATCCAGCCCAGCCGCTGAGCAGCCATTTTGGTCCCACCTAAAACACAGCGAGCAGCTTCACTTTGGGCCGCCGGAGATGGACGAAACTGAGCCCACGGCGAGTGTTTCACCCACCGAAACCTTCTAGAATGATATGGGAAATATCCAACGGGAACATGTTGCTTCTGTCAGTATTCTTTTGGTAAAGAAAAATCGCGTCCTGGAACATTTTTCTCCCGACAGCGCCTAGTTGGGTTGCCTTCACTGACTCTGGAACCAACCGGAAAAACGGACATTGACAGTATCTAACTCACGACATGAACTATGCCTTGGAAAGACCGGGAAGAATTAGAATTTGATTAAGTTTTGGGGGCGTTTATATTTACTGTGTCCACTTTTGACACATCTGATTTGGTTCAGAAATTGTCACAGTCCATGTTGAGACAGTTTCTCCGGAAAAGGAGACGGAGAGTTGAGCTGTGATTCGTTTTTTTTTCCGCTAAAAGGAAGTCGTAGCATTTTTATTTTTGACAGTGAAGGGAGGAACATTGAAAATTCTAAAGATGTCAACAAAGACTCCTTTACCTACAGTCAACGAAAAGATGACAGAAAGTGTAAGTGAAGCTCTTTATTATTGTGACACTTTAACATTTAGAGATTTGTGTAGTTTGTCTTATTTGTAGTCACAAAGTCTTGTTAAAGTTAAAGGAATATTCTTTTGAAATTGTGTGGCGTTCATAGTCCGGAGGACAGATAATTGTTTGACACGGTTGGAGGTGAAATCGTAAACAAGGATATCCTCTACGTCAATCACGGCCTGTAGGTTTCCTACATGTTGAATGTTTTGAAGTAATATATTCAAATAATCAGATTTTTTTTAGTCATAAACTATGATAATGGGTCATAGGGGAAGTAGTGTTGAAAAAATTTAGGCCCGAACCGCAAACAAAACTCCCGGAGCACTTTGAGCTGCTGGATCTGGCAGGCAACAGTTCTGCTGCAGCTCACTGGTCATTGGCTACCACAGCTGTCAATTTAAGATTTCAGCGCTTAGCTTCCAAATATGGTCAGATTAAAACCCGCCCCCTCGTGACCAATTGAATCCCCCCATTTTTTCTGAAATATCAGTTTCCGGTCCGGATTCCACAAGAAAACTCGATTGACTACGAAAACAATTTGAAAAAGTTTTGTTAAATTATTTTATAGAATTTTAAGAATCTGGTTCTCTTTTATATCCTTTTGCCTTTTAGAGACTGGTGTTTTTACATAACAGCTGGGATACTGACGTCTTACATGGGTGGTTTTTGACTGAAGTAAATGTGAAAAAAAAAAACCCAATTTATTTAAAAGAACATTTTAGGGTATTAGAGACCCTAGTGAGTAAGTAAAGTATGTGTGGAATGACCTTAAACCCGTATTATTTTTATATGAAATATCTGTATGATATGCCTTCCTTGAGCCTGCACAATCAGTATTTAATTGTAAGTGGTAGTACTAACTAAACCCACTTTTAATACGATTTTGTTTTTTAGCTTAGTGAGTGAGACAGATATGCACACATTATTTTGAAAGGCCAGTGTGTGGCTCCCTGTTGGGTTTTTCCTGTCTGTGATCAGACTCCAGTGAGATCAGTGCACAACTTCCCCTCAGTCTATACGTCTGTGGTAACTAAGGATCTGGAATTGGGAAAAAACAGTCACTGTGGGATTGTTGAAGAGAATAGCATCAGTCTGGAGCAGAGTTCTTTTCCTGCACAAACATGACAGGCGCTCAAGCAGCCCGGAGACAGCAGAGCTGTGTAAGTAAATGCTAAGATCTGAAGAAATCA